AATAGCATTCTCACGTAGGTGTTCCTCTTGTCCAGGTGGGAAAGGGCAGTGTGGAGTGCAATAGAGATTGCATCATCTGTGGATCTGTTGGGGCGGTATGCAAATTGGAGTGGGTCTAGGGTTTCTGGGATAATGGTGTTGATGTGAGCCATGACCAGCCTTTCAAAGCACTTCATGGCTACAGACGTCAGTGCTACGGGTCGGTAGTCATTTAGGCAGGTTAACTAAGGTAGATGAACAACAACATATCACAGTCATAGCAAGAAGAACGTTTTTGTAACCGTTACTGAGAATGTTGTTGCTGTTCGGGCCAGCAACTTGCAAATGTATTTTAAAATACAAAAACCATGTATTTTAATTAAATACATTACAAAATACATGTTTTTTTGTAGTTTATTTTGATACATTGATCTTTATGGTATTTTGTATCTGTATGTTGTAATTGTAATTTTTGTCCATCATTTGCATAGAAGCATCATTTCAGCATGTCACGCCTGTATGGAAGGACATCATTATAGGCACTGCTCTTAGTTTGAGAATTTAAAATAACATCTATTCAATGCAAATGGGTCCATCGTAAAATTATGATTTGTGATCACGGATGCTTATGAAACTAGGATTTTATGTCATTTTCCATGATCGGGAAAATATATTTTTTCCAGCTGTCAGGAGCATCTCTAAACAACTCAAATGCCAGCATGAAATTCGAAACAACTCAATTGGCTATTTCAGCTATCTGTTAAGAAATGGGCTGGTTGTAAACTTGATCCTACTGCTACGATTGGATAGAGCGAGGCTGTAACTCCGCTCCCTTTTACATCTCCTGATATCTCTCTCCATTGCTCATACAGTACATGGCCAAAAGTATGGGGACACCCTTTCAAATTAGTGGATTCGGCTATTTCCGCTACACCTGTTGCTGACATGTGTATAAAATCGAGCACACAGCCATGCAATCTCCATAGACAAACACTGGCAGTAGAATGGCCCATACTGAAGAGCTCACTGACTTTCAGTTCGTCAAATTTCTGCCATGCTAGAGCTGCCCCGGTCAACTGTAAGTGCTGTTATTGTGAAGTGGAAACGTCTAGGAGCAACAACGGCTCAGCCGCGAAGTGTTAGGCCACACAAGCTCACAGAACGGGACCGCGGAGTACTGAAGCGCGTAAAAATAGTCTGTCCTCGGTTGCAAAACTCACTACCGTGTTCCAAACTGCCTCTGGAAGCAACGTCAGCACAATAACTGTTCGTCGGGAGCTTCATGAAATGGGTTTCCATGGCCGAGCAGCCGCACACAAGCCTAAAATCACCATGTGCAATGCCAAGCGTCTGCTGGACTGGTGTAAAGCTCGCCGCCATTGGACTCTGGGGCAATGGAAACGCGTTCTCTGGAGTGATGAATCGCGCTTCACCATCTGGCAGTCCAACGGACAAATCTGGGTTTGGCGGATGCCAAGAGAACGCTACCTGCCCCAATGCATAATGCCAATTGTAAAGTTTGGTGGAGGAGGAATAATGGTCTAGGGCGGTTTTTCATGGTTTGGGCTAGGCCCCTTAGTTCCAGTGAAAGGAAATCGTAACGCTACAGCATACAATGACATTCTAGACAATTCTGTGCTTCCAACTTTTATGGCAATAGTTTGGGGAAGGCCTTTTCCTGTTTCAGGATGACAATGCCCCCGTGTACAAATTGAGGTCCATACAGAAATGGTTTGTCAAGATCGGTGTGGAAGAACTTGACTGGCCTGCACAGAGCCCTGACCTCAACCCCATCTTTGGGATGAATTGGAACGCAGACTGCGAGCCAGGCCTAATCGCCCAACATCACTAATGCTCTTGTGGCTGAATGGAAGCAAGTCCACGCAACAATGTTCCAACATCTAGTGGAAAGCCTTCCCAGAAGAGTGGAGGCTGTTATAGCAGCAAAGGGGGGACCAACTCCATATTAATGCACATGATTTCGGAAAGAGATGTTCGATGAGCAGGTGTCCACATACTTTTGGTCATGTAGTGTATCACTTGGTGCAGAACTAGCTCAATGGCGATGACATTTGCTACCAAGCCATAAATGTGCATAATATCTAACAATGAGAGCGAAGGTAGGAAAAACTATGAAACGACGATGCACGTCAATATACGGATATGATTGCGGCTGGTCAGATCAGCAAACCAGTAAATAGCTAACGTTACTGTCAAGTTGCGTCAATTCAAATCTGGTATAGGAACAAAAAGAGGTCAATACACGTCTTCTAAGATAGACTAGTATTTTAATTAATACAAACACTTGAATGGTAAATATGATGTTCGTATATACGGGCCCACTGAAACACCACGCAGGGCAGACAGAGAACTGAGCTATTGTTATAAGTTATTCTTTAAATACTCTGACAGAGATAGTTCCCGCTCCCTGCTGGGCCTGTCAGAATAGAGGCTGGGTGTGGTTTAAACTTACCCAACCTATCGTTGGCGCTCAGGCTGGTCCCAGCCCCTTGGCGCTTCACTGTTGCCGGGCATTAGTTGTTATCTTTACAACTTGTCTCGAGTCAGCAACCTCAGACATAGTTTGTTCTTCTTCATTGTAGCAGTACACATGTCCTTGAGCAGTTTAACAAAGAGGCAGTGTGTGTGTGAATCACAAGTCTATCTCAGCCTACCCCCTAACGGTTCCTCACATTAATCACAGCTTGTTATGTTAAACAATCTACATCAGTACAGCACAAACCTATTATGTTTAATCATTAATGTATTCTTTCTAAGCTAGGCATCACATCTAGTTGTAAGAAAATAGATCCCCACATTACTCAGCAAGTCAGATGGCTCGTTTTGCCGAAAATGGTGCATGTAGCTAGCTAGCCACATTGGCTATTAGCTCCTATCTGATATCTTAGCACCATGTTTATCTAGCCAGCTAGAGAGCAATAGTAATGGCGTCTTTTTGTAGGCACTAGCTCTGCCATAGTTCGTTGGACAAAGCGTATGAGAAAATGAATGGAGTTTTTGTAGTTTTTTTTTATAAACGCCAAAAATAAGGTTTCTGGTAAACACAGGCTTAGGAGATCTTATACATTTTGTTCTATGAGACCATTTTCATCAGCTAACGTCACGTTTTGTGAATTGTGTAATAAAAAAGCACATAAAGGCCATAAGGCTTTATAATTATAATTCATAAAGGTCATGTTAACTGACTGATATTATTTCATTGAACAAAACGTATAATATCTCCTAAGCCTGTGTTAACCTCAGGGTTCAGATCTAGAAGCACGGTTTTTGACTGCTCCTATAGCTTTGCATATGTACTACAGTTTAACTGATGCCCTGGCCCAAAAAGACAATTTCCATACACCGCCGCATAGAGAAGTCAGATATGAAAATTCCTAATAAGACACTTTAGTCATCGCCTTTGTGCACAAAACATCCATTGAATTATTCAAATAATTGTCACTGAGGCCAATTGTTTTTCATCACTCACAGGCGAAGATATTACAATTTTATATTTATCCAATGTCTGACCTGTTTTTGGATGACGTGATGACGTCGTCGCTTCTCGCGCTGCTCTCTGTGCGCACTGAGCGCTAGTGTGCATGTGATGTTGGTCCGTATTAACCGGATGCAACCCGGATATAGACGGTCCATGAATCGGCGTATGCGTGAGTAGGTTACCTTATTATTAGTGAATTAACAAAAATAATTTGATTTTGGTCACAGTGTCATTTCACCCGTTTCATCCATTTCATCCATTTCTCAATACTGCACTTTTCTGTTGGAGAATGAGCTAGCTTGCTGCTTCTGATTTTCCCAGCTAAACATTTGCATTGTGCAGTGCATGTGGCTCAGGCAGTGAGTGGTGGCTGGCATAGCTGCAGTTTTGCTATGCAGAGGGACTATCAGCAAAGCCGATAGAGATGGGCCAATAGCCGATAGACTAGAAAAGGCCGGCCTCCCGAGTGGCGCAGCGGTCTAAGGCACTACATCGCAGTGCTAGAGGCGTCACTACAGATCCGGGTTCGATCCCGGGCTGTGTCGCAGCCGGCCGCGACCGGGAGACCCATGAGGTGGCGCACAATTGGCCCAGCGGTTTGGCCGGCTGGGATGTCCTTGTCCCATCGCGCTCTAGCGACTCCTTGTGGCGGCCGGGCGCATGCACACTGACTTCGGTTGCCAGCTGTACAGTGTTTCCTCCGACACATTGGTGCGGCTGGCTTCCGGGTTAAGCGAGCAGTGTGTCAAGAAGCAGTGCGGCTTGGTGGGGCCGTGTTTCGGAAGACGCATGGCTCTCGACCTTCGCCTCTCCCGAGTCCGTAGGGGAGTTGCAGCAATGGGACAAGACTGTAACTACCAATTGGATATCACGAAAAAGGGGTAAAAAGTACAAAATAAAAAAATAAAATAAAGACTAGAAAAGGGCAATATCGGCTGATATATCGGCTCAGCTGATTATCAGTCGTTCTCTAGTTGTAACAGGATCCCCTGTTCCTATTCACATAGACAGAAAGAAGGAAGAGCTTGACGACGTGGTTTGAGGTGGAACCTCCGCAGAATGGAATCAGGCACGCAAACTGTCAGTGTGGCACAATAACTCTCTCAAACACACACACACACACACACACACAGTCCTTCTTTTCAGTAGCTACTAACCATAAAGTTTCACTTCCCCAGCATTCTTGCTTATTTAGTATATGTTCTTCTATTTAGTAACACGGCAAGGATGTGTGATGGATATTAGAGCTGCTATGGTATGGGTGTACAACATGCTTGTATGGAATTCAATGCTGGAGACAGTATCCCACAGCTCCTGACAATAGACCACAATGAAGTGAACACTGAAGTACTGTCATCTGAGCCCTGATATGATCTTTCATGTTCACTGTGTCTACTTTACTCAGGTCTACTTCCAATTCCACGTCTCCTATAAACGTGTTACCCTTAAACTGTTGACCGGAAAAGGAAAATATGAATCATACCTGTAATAATAATGTGTCTCTGTCTCCGTGTTGCACAGGGTAGCGACGGACCACAATGTGGACAACACTACAGCCATCCTGCGTGACTGGCTCGTCAAGGTCCAAAAACTCTACCACTATGTGGAGTGGAGGCCGCAGGAGGAGCCCACGTGAGTTCCTCTCATGTTCACTTTATAAACTGTGTGTCTTTCTGTATCTATCTGTGTCATTTATACAGGAGAGTTAACGCTTTACATTTATAAGTCATTTATAGATAGTTAATATGTGATTTATAAACTACATATTAACTAATAATTACAAATTACGTATAAACCCTTAATATCCTCCTTAAAGACACCTTAATGTGTAGTGTTACGGAGAGGCACCTTCATGTAAAGTGTTACGGAGAGGCACCTTCATGTAAAGTGTTACGGAGAGGCACCTTAATGTAAAGTGTTACGGAGAGGCACCTTAATGTAAAGTGTTACGGAGAGGCACCTTCATGTAAAGTGTTACGGAGAGGCACCTTCATGTAAAGTGTTACGGAGAGGCACCTTCATGTAAAGTGTTACGGAGAGGCACCTTCATGTAAAGTGTTACGGAGAGGCACCTTAATGTAAAGTGTTACGGAGAGGCACCTTAATGTAAAGTGTTACGGAGAGGCACCTTAATGTAAAGTGTTACGGAGAGGCACCTTAATGTAAAGTGTTACGGAGAGGCACCTTAATGTAAAGTGTTACGGAGAGGCACCTTAAAGCGGCAATCAGTGGTAAAAACAATAACAAAGCGTCCTCCCCTCCCCTGTTTCGGTATAAAGCTGAGGGATGGGACTGGAGAAATATAACCACTCAAATGTATAGACAGAGCTATGGATGCAAGGACTGACCATTCATTATATCAACATTATAGTTTTAACCATGTCGTGAGACTATATAGTGTTACATTTGCTTTGTGTACAAACATTGGAGTAAAACAAGCTTATATTTTGGGTTCTGATGGTGTACAACTGTTGAACTAAGCTAACCATTGATTCTTGAAGAATATAGGCTAATTTATAAATGCCTCATATTTATAAATTAGCCTATATTCCACAAGAATCAATGGGTAAGCCTACATATCATTAATTTATAAGTCCAAAAAGTGATGTTGCAACTGCTGATTGCCCCTTTAATGTAAAGTGATACAAAGAGGCACCTGAATGTAACGTGTCACCGGAGAGGCACCTGAATGTAACGTGTCACTGGAGAGGCACCTGAATGTAACGTGTCACTGGAGAGGCACCTGAATGTAAAGTGTTACAGAGAGGCACCTTGCTGTAATTGTTCCCAGAGAGGAGGTACTGAATGTCCTGTTTGTTTATGTTTTTACTCAGAGAGTACCAGGATGCAGACAGCCCGAAGCAGTGGACCAACCTCCGCTACGCACACGTGATGAAGCTGCGGCAGGCAGCACTGGACTCCGCGAGAGAGATGTGGGCAGACTACTTCATGGTACTTCTTTCTCCAGTCTCCATGACGACCCCACCCTCTTTTACAGATAAACAGGGTGCATCCCAAACGGCACCCTATTCCCTACATAGTGCACTACTTTTGACCAGTGGGCCCATTTGGGACGCAGTCAAGTCCCGCCCTATTTTACAGAGACGCAGAGTTCTCCTTTTTTAGAACAATAAAGCAATAAGAGAACAGCAGGACTCATGTTTTCCTATCTCACTTCTGGTTTAGAGTAAACCAATTCATCTGGCTTGGTGATACTATTTACCATTCTGGAACAAACCTGGCAGAATCTTAAATATGACAGCTTTGAGTTCTATTCTTTCACCCCTAAGTGTAGACACATTGTCCAGGACTCGCAGGGGTATAATTTTGGGATGGCGTGAAAACGCAGATGAGGTAGTTTTGTTCTTTAAATGTGCCTGTTGTCTTCAGTAATGTTGTGCAATTAGAACTGGGTTAAAATAGAGCAGCTAAAGTTTATGAAAGAAAACAAATACTATTTGAACCCAGGTCTGTGGCCAATGCTGCCTCCTCATTCTAACACTGATTCTGGTGGCTGGACCGCTACAATGACATTGTTTACTATTGTCTCTAGAGAGGTTTGATGTTGCAGAGTGATGTTTAAAGCTGGAAGAGGATAAAGTGTCTCACTGTTCCCTCTCCCTTCCTTTGCTCAGTTCCATCACACTCACACGCTCTTCCACTCTCCCCTGTCTAGGTGGTGGACTGTGATAACCTATTGACCAATCCTAATGTGCTGTGGAAGCTCATCAAGGAGAACAAGACCATTGTAGCTCCCATGTTAGAGTCCCGTGCAGCCTACTCCAACTTCTGGTGTGGCATGACCTCCCAGGTACGGTACTCTATTTGTGTGGGTGGGTGTGTGTGCATGCGGTCGTGTCCTCCCAGATACTTTGTGTGCATTAAAGCGAGAGCACAATCACCTTGATTGAAACGCTTAGAAGTGCTCATCGTATTCTAAACACTTCTCCCTCGTCTCTCTCTTCCTCCTCCAGGGTTACTATAAGCGCACCCCGGCTTACATCCCTATGAGAAAGCAGGTGCGTAAGGGATGCTTCGCGGTTCCCATGGTGCACTCCACCTTCCTGATTGACCTGAGGAAGGAGTCGTCACGCCAGCTGGCCTTCCACCCCCCTCACCCAGACTACAGCTGGGCCTTCGATGACATCATTGTCTTCGCCTTCTCCGCTCGCATGGCAGGTACTGTTAACATGTTCTCTCTCTTTTGTCCTGTTTAGTAGCTTTCATATACAATACAGCATGATAATGATTTGGTACACTTCATTGTGTTTGCCATCTACGCTCGCATGGCAGGTAGGCCTACTGCTGTTATTCTGTTCACATGGCAGGTAGGCCTACTGCTGTTATTCTGTTTACATGGCAGGTAGGCCTACTGCTGTTATTCTGTTTACATGGCAGGTAGGCCTACTGCTGTTATTCTGTTTTACATGGCAGGTAGGCCTGCTGTTATTCTGTTTTACATGGCAGGTAGGCCTACTGTTATTCTGTTTTACATGGCAGGTAGGCCTACTGCTGTTATTCTGTTTTACATGGCAGGTAGGCCTACTGTTATTCTGTTTTACATGGCAGCTAGGCCTACTGCTGTTATTCTGTTTTACATGGCAGGTAGGCCTACTGTTATTCTGTTTTACATGGCAGGTAGGCCTACTGCGGTTATTCTGTTTTACATGGCAGCTAGGCCTACTGCTGGTATTCTGTTTTACATGGCAGGTAGGCCTACTGTTATTCTGTTTACATGGCAGGTAGGCCTACTGCGGTTATTCTGTTTTACATGGCAGCTAGGCCTACTGCTGGTATTCTGTTTTACATGGCAGGTAGGCCTACTGTTATTCTGTTTTACATGGCAGGTAGGCCTACTGTTATTCTGTTTTACATGGCAGGTAGGCCTACTGCTGCTATTCTGTTCACATGGCAGGTAGGTCTACTGCTGTTATTCTGTTTTACATGGCAGGTAGGACCTACTGCGGTTATTCTGTTTTACATGGCAGGTAGGCCTACTGCTGTTATTCTGTTCACATGGCAGGTAGGCCTACTGTTATTCTGTTTTACATGGCAGGTAGGCCTACTGTTATTCTGTTTTACATGGCAGGTAGGCCTACTGCTGTTATTCTGTTCACATGGCAGGTAGGCCTACTGCTGTTATTCTGTTTTACATGGCAGGTAGGATCTACTGCGGTTATTCTGTTTTACATGGCAGGTAGGACCTACTGCGGTTATTCTGTTTTACATGGCAGGTAGGACCTACTGCGGCTATTCTGTTTTACATGGCAGCTAGGCCTACTGCTGTTATTCTGTTCACATGGCAGGTAGGCCTACTGCTGTTATTCTGTTTTACATGGCAGGTAGGACCTACTGCGGTTATTCTGTTTTACATGGCAGGTAGGACCTACTGCGGCTATTCTGTTTTACATGGCAGCTAGGCCTACTGCTGGTATTCTGTTTTACATGGCAGGTAGGCCTACTGTTATTCTGTTTTACATGGCAGGTAGGCCTACTGTTATTCTGTTTTACATGGCAGGTAGGCCTACTGCTGTTATTCTGTTCACATGGCAGGTAGGCCTACTGCTGTTATTCTGTTTTACATGGCAGGTAGGACCTACTGCGGTTATTCTGTTTTACATGGCAGGTAGGACCTACTGCGGTTATTCTGTTTTACATGGCAGGTAGGCCTACTGCTGTTATTCTGTTCACATGGCAGGTAGGCCTACTGCTGTTATTCTGTTTTACATGGCAGGTAGGCCTACTGCTGTTATTCTGTTCACATGGCAGGTAGGCCTACTGCTGTTATTCTGTTTTACATGGCAGGTAGGCCTACTGCTGTTATTCTGTTTTAAATGGCAGGTAGGCCTACTGTTATTCTGTTTTACATGGCAGGTAGGCCTACTGCTGTTATTCTGTTTTACATGGCAGGTAGGCCTACTGCTGTTATTCTGTTTACATGGCAGGTAGGCCTACTGCTGTTATTCTGTTTACATGGCAGGTAGGCCTACTGCTGTTATTCTGTTTTACATGGCAGGTAGGCCTGCTGTTATTCTGTTTTACATGGCAGGTAGGCCTACTGTTATTCTGTTTTACATGGCAGGTAGGCCTACTGCTGTTATTCTGTTTTACATGGCAGGTAGGCCTACTGTTATTCTGTTTTACATGGCAGCTAGGCCTACTGCTGTTATTCTGTTTTACATGGCAGGTAGGCCTACTGTTATTCTGTTTTACATGGCAGGTAGGCCTACTGCGGTTATTCTGTTTTACATGGCAGCTAGGCCTACTGCTGGTATTCTGTTTTACATGGCAGGTAGGCCTACTGTTATTCTGTTTACATGGCAGGTAGGCCTACTGCGGTTATTCTGTTTTACATGGCAGCTAGGCCTACTGCTGGTATTCTGTTTTACATGGCAGGTAGGCCTACTGTTATTCTGTTTTACATGGCAGGTAGGCCTACTGTTATTCTGTTTTACATGGCAGGTAGGCCTACTGCTGCTATTCTGTTCACATGGCAGGTAGGTCTACTGCTGTTATTCTGTTTTACATGGCAGGTAGGACCTACTGCGGTTATTCTGTTTTACATGGCAGGTAGGCCTACTGCTGTTATTCTGTTCACATGGCAGGTAGGCCTACTGTTATTCTGTTTTACATGGCAGGTAGGCCTACTGTTATTCTGTTTTACATGGCAGGTAGGCCTACTGCTGTTATTCTGTTCACATGGCAGGTAGGCCTACTGCTGTTATTCTGTTTTACATGGCAGGTAGGATCTACTGCGGTTATTCTGTTTTACATGGCAGGTAGGACCTACTGCGGTTATTCTGTTTTACATGGCAGGTAGGCCTACTGCTGTTATTCTGTTCACATGGCAGGTAGGCCTACTGCTGTTATTCTGTTTTACATGGCAGGTAGGACCTACTGCGGTTATTCTGTTTTACATGGCAGGTAGGACCTACTGCGGCTATTCTGTTTTACATGGCAGCTAGGCCTACTGCTGGTATTCTGTTTTACATGGCAGGTAGGCCTACTGTTATTCTGTTTTACATGGCAGGTAGGCCTACTGTTATTCTGTTTTACATGGCAGGTAGGCCTACTGCTGTTATTCTGTTCACATGGCAGGTAGGCCTACTGCTGTTATTCTGTTTTACATGGCAGGTAGGACCTACTGCGGTTATTCTGTTTTACATGGCAGGTAGGACCTACTGCGGTTATTCTGTTTTACATGGCAGGTAGGCCTACTGCTGTTATTCTGTTCACATGGCAGGTAGGCCTACTGCTGTTATTCTGTTTTACATGGCAGGTAGGCCTACTGCTGTTATTCTGTTCACATGGCAGCTAGGCCTACTGCTGTTATTCTGTTTTACATGGCAGGTAGGACCTACTGCTGTTATTCTGTTTTAAATGGCAGGTAGGCCTACTGTTATTCTGTTTTACATGGCAGGTAGGCCTACTGCTGTTATTCTGTTTTACATGGCAGGTAGGCCTACTGCTGTTATTCTGTTCACATGGCAGGTAGGCCTACTGCTGTTATTCTGTTTTACATGGCAGGTAGGACCTACTGCGGTTATTCTGTTTTACATGGCAGGTAGGACCTACTGCGGTTATTCTGTTTTACATGGCAGGTAGGCCTACTGCTGTTATTCTGTTCACATGGCAGGTAGGCCTACTGCTGTTATTCTGTTTTAAATGGCAGGTAGGCCTACTGTTATTCTGTTTTACATGGCAGGTAGGCCTACTGCTGTTATTCTGTTCACATGGCAGCTAGGCCTACTGCTGTTATTCTGTTTTACATGGCAGGTAGGCCTACTGTTATTCTGTTTTACATGGCAGGTAGGCCTACTGTTATTCTGTTTTACATTACATTTACATTTTACATTTTAGTCATTTAGCAGACGCTCTTATCCAGAGCGACTTACAGTTAGTGAGTGCATACATTATTTTTTATTTTTCATACTGGCCCCCCGTGGGAATCGAACCCACAACCCTGGCGTCGCAAACGCCATGCTCTACCAACTGAGCTACACCCCTACACACTTACATGGCAGGTAGGCCTACTGCTGTTATTCTGTTCACATGGCAGCTAGGCCTACTGCTGTTATTCTGTTTTACATGGCAGGTAGGCCTACTGCTGTTATTCTGTTTTACATGGCAGGTAGGCCTACTGCTGTTATTCTGTTTTACATGGCAGGTAGACCTACTGCTGTTATTCTGTTTTACATGGCAGGTAGGCCTACTGCTGTTATTCTGTTTTACATGGCAGGTAGGCCTGCTGTTATTCTGTTTTACATTGCAGGTAGGCCTACTGCTGTTATTCTGTTTTACATGGCAGGTAGTCCTACTGCTGTTATTCTGTTTTACATGGCAGGTAGGCCTACTGCGGTTATTCTGTTTTACATGGCAGGTAGGCCTACTGCTGTTATTCTGTTTTACATGGCAGATAGGTTTACTGTGGTAATTCAGAATGGCTGCCTTTTAGATCTGAGTTTTCCACAACAGTAATGAATAAGATTATATGAACAGGGAGGACCTGTTTCTAGATCAGCTCTTCGACTCCGAGGCACTTTGTGAATAGGCCGAGGCTACAACTATGTAGTTTTGGCCTCTGCCCCCGTACCACCCCTCTGGAAACGTATTTCTCAAATCTAAGGATCTGAGTCACGTTCTGCGCATGTGTTTGTTTTGCTGAATTCCTGGGGGTTTAACGGACAGTGGTGAGTTCCCAGAGTCTGGTTGTTCTAATTCCATCCATGGACATAGTGTATGCTTTGTGTAAGATATCTTAATATACTTTTGCATAAATACATAAGTGTCATGTTTTTGTTTTGAAAGTTTATATTTTGAGGCGTGACACAAATAACCTCATCTACAGTGTGAATAGCCATAGCAAAGCCAAATGTAAATGTTTGTAGAAAACTTGTCATTAATAACAAACTTATTTTCTCCCTCTACACTCTACTCTTCCTCCGTCTTCCTCAGATGTGCAGATGTTCCTATGTAACAAAGAGACTTATGGGTATTTCCCTGTGCCACTGCGAGCCCACAACTCCCTGACAGACGAAGCAGACAGTTTCCTGCATTCCTTGTTGGAGGTCAATGGTGAGTGTTATGTCATATTGTCACAGGTCAAAAGGTAGTCGGCTCTCTCATGTCCATACTAGCATATACTAGCATCCGAATGGGCAAAATTGGTTGAAATGACGTCTTTTTGACATCTCACTTGGTTACCACTTAGGATGGATGCTCAATACATTGCTTCATTCTAAGTAGTATGCCAGTGTGGATATCGGAACACAGCTGGAAGTTGAAGCTTTTCTCTCTTCTCTAACTAATGTTACTGGTCGGCATGTGAGAGTTGTTTATCATTCCTATCATTTTTATCCTTTCTCACGTTAGTGCGGAACCCTCATGTGCTGCCCTCGGAGTACATCCCGGCCCCTAGAAAGATACAAGACAAACTGGGCTTTGATGAGGTGAGGATATGAGCCAGCTCAGAATATGGTTCTGAGTTCCTTATTGACCCCTACACCCTAGGCCCACATTGTCAAATTATTTCTATGGAGGCCGAGTGTCTGCGGGTTTTCACTCCTCCCTTGTACTTGATTGATCAATTAAGGTCACTGATTAGTTAGGAATGCCCCTAGGTCTTAATTGGACACGATTGAAAGGAAATTAGAAACACCAGCAGACACTTGGCCCTCCATGGATTGAGTTTGACACCCCTGCCCTAGGCACTCCTGAAGATGTGTAAGGATCTAATGGGTTTAAGCAATAAGGCAATTGCTTCACCATGTCTTCTGGTAGGCTGGGTTGAATTGTCACCACATTTCATACACCTATCCAATTGTTTCCGAGTGTCTAAGCGTAGCTGGCGTTTTGGAATTTATCACTAGAATTCAAAATGTCTCTTTTGTACCCTTCAGCTTTAAATGTCTCCCTCTGTGGGTGTCATGTGGTATTGCATGTATTGACTCACTACCGTACAGTAAGGCCCGTGTATTGCGTGTGTGTGCAGGTGTTCATGATCAACCTAAAGAAACGGACCGACCGGCGGGATCGCATGCTGAGGACTCTGTATGAGCAAGAGATTGCCTGCAAGGTCATTCAAGCGGTAGACGGCAAGTAAGTTGACCCCTTTTTGAAGGCACTCTTCTCTCTGCACGTCATATACTTCATGTAGCGTTACAGATAGACTCAGTGATGGCACATCGTCATACAAAGCAGAAGCTGCCCCATTGTTTATGATGTCTTTAAGCGCTCAAAATGACCCCACTGTTTATGTCTTTAAGCGCTCAAAATGACCCCGTTATCTCTCTCTCCCTCTCTATTTGTGTCTCTCTCTTTATCTCTGTCTCTTTCTTTCTCCCTCAACCCCCTCTCTCCTGCCTCTCCCTCTTTCCCCCTCAGAGCAATGAACATCAGTGAGATCAATGCCCTGGGGATCCACATGCTACCAGGCTACAGTGATCCATACCACGGCAGGCCCCTCACCAAGGGAGAGCTGGGCTGCTTCCTCTCACACTACAACATCTGGAAAGAGGTGTGAGCCCTGCAGTTGCAGGCCAGGGTAGTGTTCAGTAGGGAGAAAATGTTTAGAAACAGGGGAGGTACTACCTGAACTTGTCCAATAATAGTTTTGCTACGGTGTGCTCCTAATGAACACAGCAGGGTTGGGCTCAATTCATCATATTATTGAGAATGCCTCAAATTCCAATTCAATTCTTGAATTCAATTTGAATTTAATTTGAATTGAAATAGTAAACCGGATACAGAATTGCAATTCAAATTTGAATTAAACGAAATAGAATTTAATTCAATAAAATTCAAATGCCTCTTCTATTCTACAGTACATCTTGTACATAAAACCTCAAACATGTCATGATATAGAGTACCAGTCAAAAGTTTGGACACACCTACTCATTCCAGGGTTTGTCTTTATTTTTACTATGAAATAACATATGGAATCATGTAGTAACAAAAAAGTGTTAAACAAATCAATATATATTTTATATTTGAGATTCTTCAAATAGCCACGCTTTGTCTTGATGACAGCTTTGCACACTCTTGGCATTCTCTCAACCAGCTTCACCTGAAATGCTTTTCCAATAGTCTTGAAGGAGTTCATATGCTGAGCACTTGTTGGCTGCTTTCCTTCACTCTGCGGTCCGACTCATCCCAAACCATCTCAATTGGGTTGAGGTCGGGGGATTGTGGAGGCCAGGTCATCTGATGCAGCACTCCATCACTCTCCTTCTTGGTCAAATAGCCCTTACACAGCCTGGAGGTGTGTTGGGTCATTGTCCTGTTGAAAAACAAGTGATAGTCCTACTAAGTGCAAACCAGATGGGATGGCGTATCGCTGCAGAATGATGTGGTAGCCATGCTGGTTAACTGTGCCTTGAATTCTAAATAAATCACAGACAGTGTCACCAGCAAAGCACCCCCACACCATATCACCTCCTCCTCCATGCTTTACGGTGGGAAATACACATGCAGAGATCATCCGTTCACCCACACCGCGTCTCACAAAGCCACGGCGGTTGGAACCAAAAATCTCTAATTTGGACTCCAGGCCAAAGGACAAATTTGAGAGAAGCTGGTTGAGAGAATGTCAAGAGTGTGCAAAGCCGTCATCAAGGCAAAGGGTGGCTATTTTGACTGGTAGTGTACATGCAGGACAAACTCTTAAAATTAATGTTCAAGGAAAACAAAACCTGTAAGCGAATAACATTGAACAATAACATTGACCTGTATGCAAATAAGTTATTATATTTAATTAATCACTGAAACTTTGTTCAATTTGGGGAAAATACTATATTTCCCAGAATGTATTAGTTTAACCCTCAAGTTGACCCTGAGGCCTTCAAAAAGAAGCCAAATAAATTAAATGGTTGTTGGAAATATAATGAGCTACAGTGGGGGAAAAAAGTATTTAGTCAGCCACCAATTGTGCAAGTTCTCCCACTTAAAAAGATGAGAGAGGCCTGTAATTTTCATCATAGGTACACGTCAACTATGACAGACATATTGAGAATTTTTTTCTCCAGAAAATCACATTGTAGGATTTTTAATGAATTTATTTGCAAATTATGGTGGAAAATAAGTATTTGGTCACCTACAAACAAGCAAGATTTCTGGCTCTCACAGACCTGTAACTTCTTCTTTAAGAGGCTCCTCTGTCCTCCACTCGTTACCTGTATTAATGGCACCTGTTTGAACTTGTTATCAGTATAAAAGACACCTGTCCACAACCTCAAACAGTCACACTCCAAACTCCACTATGGCCAAGACCAAAGAGCTGTCAAAGGACACCAGAAACAAAATTGTAGACCTGCACCAGGCTGGAAAGACTGAATCTGCAATAAGTAAGCAGCTTGGTTTGAAGAAATCAACTGTGGGAGCAATTATTAGGAAATGGAAGACATACAAGACCACTGATAATCTCCCTCGATCTGGGGCTCCACGTAAGATCTCACACCGTGGGGTCAAAATGATCACAAGAACGGTGAGCAAAAATCCCAGAACCACACGGGGGGACCTAGTGAATGACCTGCAGAGAGCTGGGACCAAAGTAACAAAGCCTACCATCAGTAACACACTACGCCGCCAGGGACTCAAATCCTGCAGTGCCAGACGTGTCCCCCTGCTTAAGCCAGTACATGTCCAGGCCCGTCTGAAGTTTGCTAGGGTGCATTTGGATGATCCAGAAGAGGATTGGGAGAATGTCATATGGTCAGATGAAACCAAAATAGAACTTTTTTGTAAAAACTCAACTCGTCGTGTTTGGAGGACAAAGAATGCTGAGTTGCATCCAAAGAACACCATACCTACTGTGAAGCATGGGGGTGGAAACATCATGCTTTGGGGCTGTTTTTCTGCAAAGGGACCAGTTTGACTGATCCGTGTAAAGGAAAGAATGAATGGGGCCATGTATTGTGAGAATTTGAGTGAAAACCTCCTTCCATCAGCAAGGGCATTGAAGATGAAACGTGGCTGGGTCTTTCAGCATGACAATGATCCCAAACACACCCCCCGGGCAACGAAGGAGTGGCTTCGTAAGAAGCATTTCAAGGTCCTGGAGTGGCCTAGCCAGTCTCCAGATCTCAACCCCATAGAAAATCTTTGGAGGGAGTTGAAAGTCCGTGTTGCCCAGCGACAGCCCCAAAACATCACTGCTCTAGAGGAGATCTGCATGGAGGAATGGGCCAAAATACCAGCAACAGCGTGTGAAAACCTTGTGAAGACTTACAGAAAACGTTTGACCTGTGTCATTGCCAACAAAGGGTATATAACAAAGTATTGAGAAACTTTTGTTATTGACCAAATACTTATTTTCCACCATAATTTGCAAATAAATTCATAAAAAATCCTAAAATGTGATTTTCTGTTTTTTTTTCTTCTCATTTTGTCTGTCATAGTTGACGTGTACCTATGATGAAAATTACAGGCCTCTCTCATCTTTTTAAGTGGGAGAACTTGCACAATTGGTGGCTGACTAAATACTTTTTTCCCCCACTGTATTCTAGTGATATATTCTTTGGTATCTTGAAGTGTGACCTGTCGGATTCAATGAAACTCTCATGTTCTATGACTGAGTGGTATTTCTTTGAATTGCACTGAATTAAATTATACTTCCTGTCAATCAAATTCAACATCCTGTAGGGTGTGGCCTATTCAATTAAAATGTCAACTCATGAGTTGAATGGGAGTCAATTCCAAAATTCTGAATTGAGCCCAACCCTGGAACACAGGCCTGGCTGTCACTCTCAGGTATAGATATAGTCTACGACAGTTTCTTTGCGTCGTCTGAATGTGAGGGTCACTGTTTTCTCTCTGTCTATCTCTGTGTGTGTTCAGATCGCAGAGCGGGGTCTGAAGAGTTCCTTGGTGATCGAGGACGATCTGCGTTTCGAGGTCTTCTTCAAGCGACGCCTGATGAACCTGATGACTGAAGTGGAGAGCCAGGGTCTAGACTGGGACCTGATGTGAGTGTTTGAAAGACTGTATATCATTCACTATACACACTGGATATCCTCTAGTCTAGGTCAGTGAGTCTCAACCTCTGGTCCGGGGACCGGCATTGGTCCCTGGCATGTCGCTGGCCGATCCCTCAGACATATGATACAGTATTTGGTTAGTTCTGAAGTGTTCATTGTAATGTTAGCAGTCCTTTTAAAAGAGTTAAGAACCCCTGATATAGCTTGCTGACTCAGCACTTACTGTCTACCCTTCCCATGTGGTGTAAACTTTCTTCATCTTTCTCTTCCCCAACTGTTCTTCCTCCCAGTTATATCGGCAGGAAGAGGATGCAGGTGGACCGCCCTGAGAAGTCTGTGCCCAATATACACAACCTGGTGGAGGCCGACTACTCCTATTGGACGCTGGGCTATATGATGTCATTACAAGGAGCCCAGAAACTGCTGAGGGCAGAGCCGTTGAAGAGGATATTACCCGTAGATGAGTTCCTCCCTGTCATGTTCAATAAACACCCTGTGTAAGTTTACCCCTATCTGTCGCACGCTTTCTCTCTGTGTCTTTCTGTCGCCTGTCTCTCCAGGTAAATCTCAAAAGTATTTTGAGTCCTCTCTTCTCGCCTCCTTTTCAAAGCAACAGCAGGAAACGAAGGGAGCATCAGAGGAGAAAGATATTCTCTTCCGAAGCTCCCTTCACTCCCCTTCACGGTTTGAGGAGGCGGCGAGGAGAGAAGAGACAAGGAATCAAGGAAAAGACTTGAGATTCACCCCTTTTCACCTAATCCTCTTTTCAATGTATCCCTTGACATCTGTATCTCCTCTCTCTCTTACCTCTCTCTCCAGCACGGACTACATGGAGCAGTTTGAGGAGCGGGACCTGAAGGCCTTCTCGGCCGAGCCTCTGCTAGTGTTCCCCACTCACTATACAGGAGATTCGGGCTACATCAGCGACACAGAGACCTCCGTGGTGTGGGACAACGAGAAGGTGCGTACGGACTGGGACCGGGCCCGCTCGGGGAAGACCCAGGAGCAGGCGGAGATCAGCACCGAGGCCCAGAACTCTGACGTACTCCAGTCACCTCTGGACAGCACAGCCACACGGGACGAACTATGAGAGGAGAGGGGGTGGAGAGGAAGGGGATGGGGTTGGCGATGGAGGATGGATGGAGAGATATGCTGAAGATTAAGAACCACCATGAGTGATGTGAACCACCATGGGTTTTTTTTAAAGTCGTTTTTGTATGTTTTAGCCCCCTTTCTTTGCATCATTGCAGTGACATGATGTACAGTACGCAGGCACCTGTTTTTGTTTTGTTTTTTAACCAAAGATGACAAGTTAAATAAGGGATCGTTGCATTCTTTTAGCATTATTTTTCTTCCATTTTCTTTTTAATTTCAGAGATATGTTCGACTCACTTTTTTTTTGCTACATTTACAAGACCCAAATGCAGGGTGGGATCTGCATGTCTACAGTGATCTGGTTGGACTGTCTGTTACATTTCAGTGATGTGATTGGCCTGTGAACTGGAACTTTGTTTCTGATTGGTCACTACCATGCCTCAAGTGCCTTATAGCCTAGTTCATCATGTCAAATCTCACAACTGACCCGAGTAGACCTTGTCACCTCTAGAATTAATAATTAATGTATTAATTGTTAATTAATTAATGTGTGTTTATGTACTATAACAGTGTACTGTAGCAGTCTTTGAAAGGATTGTAAAATACAAGCATCTGCATGCTTTTGGAGATGGCTTTAAGATTATCTTTTTCATCTGTTCATTTTTAAACTATAGGTAGACCTAACATCTTTTGCATCAATTAGAGATTTATGCTTGAAATTTGTGTGCTGCTTCGCAAACGAGTCCCATAGATTTAACGAAACCTCACCAAGGAGCTCAAAGTCATATCATATGACATATGAGATTAATACCAAAACAGTAGTAATTAAAAAGCAACATCTCCCAAAGTTAATGACTTGGCTACCCGCCCTCCCTGTCAGGCCCTAACCATTGAGCAACAGTAGTGCTCTTTATAGCAGTGGAGTACGTCTTCTTAAAAACCAACAGCTCCCAATGTTAATAAATATGGGTAGAATCCTAACTTCCACTTAAGTCAAATCTTCCTCATCTCTTAATTGACATCAATGCATCACTACAAGTGCAAATTCGACTTAAGTGGACGTTAGGATTCACCACTATCCGCCTCCCCTGTCAGTCCATGGCCATTGAGTTACAGTAGAGCTGTTTATAGCAGTGGAGTACTCCTTTCCCCCACTTGCCACCTCTGGTCTGTTTCCAGGCTAATGCCGTCTCGCCTTCACACAGAGCTATACGAGGGTCACATGTGGGAGTGACCACAGAGACCGCAGTAAACGCCTCACACTTTTGTGGTGGAGGAGGAGCCATGGAATTCCTCCCAGCCACATCCAAACTGGGTCGGTTGGACGGTCTGCGTTGCCACCTCGACCTCGCAGTTAAGCTAGAAAGTGTAAAGCAGAAACACTTTGGACCGTGTAGTATATCAGTTAAATAGAAGCCTGTGTTTAACAGATGAGAGACAGAGCTTGGATGGATCGTCATGCTTTTGATATTTTAGTTATTTATTGCTGGCCTGTCAGAAGAGGTGTCCGTCTAGGGCATGGTTTCCCAAACTCGGTCCTGGGGCCCCTCCTGGGTGCACATTTTGGTTTTTGCCCTAGCACTAAACAGCGCATTCAAATAATCAAAGCTTGATGATGAGGTGATTATTAGAATCAGCTGCAAAAACCGAAACGTGCACCCAGGGGGGGCCCCAGGACCGAGTTTGGGAAACCCTGGTCTAGGGCACGTGTCCAACTCATTCCACGGAGGGCCGAGTGTCTGCGGGTTTTCACTCCTCCCTTGGACTTGATTGATGAATTAAGGTCACTAATTAGTAAGGAACTCCCCTCACCTGGTTGTCTAGGTCTTAATTGAAAGGAAAAACCAAAAACCGGTAGACACTAGGCCCTCCATGGAATGAGTTTGACACCCCTGGTCTAGGGGACCTCCCAAGGCGTTGGTTCTAGCTGTAGCCCTGCCTTCCAAGGCATTGTTGTAGCCGTTAGGTGGGAGATATTAAGATTCAGTTGAGACTCGCTCATAATAGTCTAAGAGATTACATTGTCTGTCATAACAGTGTTTTTTTTTTACTTCATACCAAATAATACAATATTTTGTTAAAAAAGAGTAATGATAATTGTGGTCTCCATTCCTCCAGATGGTCAAATTAGAGATTTCTCCATTTTACTTTGAGATTGATATGTCATGACCAAATTAGCTAGATGTTGAGCCACTGAAACCTTATCACAGTTATTTGTCTGTCTGTCTGTGATTATAGGATTGTTGGGTGACAAATTGCCATCCCCCTCATATTCTGTGAAACAATTGTAGAGTTCCTTTTTACATGTGCCATAACTCCTCAGTGAACAAACTAACACAGAATTAAAAATAACTAACTATAGGATATCCATGCTTTCTACTTACCAACAAGTTACAAAAAATGGAAGCCTACAATCAGGGAATTCTAAATCATTTTTAAAAAATCACTGCCTGCAAAATGGGAATAAGACATATCCGGATTAGACCTAGGCTAGGCCTACTCTGCTTCATGTGTGCTCTATAAACAAGCTATTTTGCTCCCAGTGTGATGGCCCGCGTAAATTGAACCTTGATAGGATTTGTGCCCCAAATCTTATTTTCAAATGGTTTATAAATCAAGATTATTATGTTTTAAGTGCGCTTGCGTGAAGTTCACAGCGCCTGCTTTTGTCATTAGCTACGACTATTGTATTTTCTATCCCTCAGAAAACCGATTAAAACCAGGGTTGAGATGACGTGAAGAATGTTGCGACATAGGAATGCGGTCGGACAAGATGCTTAGCGGAACAAGACCTTGTACACAGGGAGGGAAAACCCTAGTTGATAGACCTGAAAACATTGTTCTATGACACAGTTTTACTGCTCAAAGAGATTGAGGAAATCAGTCGGAGGGTATGAGACAACCGATAACGGCTGAGTGGGCTCTGGCCTAGGCTACAGGGATGCGCCAAGGACACTGCCTATCCAAACGGACAATTACAGACCTCTGTGGGAAATTGATTCTGAATGGTTTATGTTCTGCATCGCATGAAATGGAACGAATGTTTTTGATTTGAATCAATATAGTTTACCACATTTTGAGCTAGGCTATTTGAATGCGTGTTAGCCTAATTATTTTGTGTTGCGTGCCAATATGGAATTAAGACAGCTAGAAATGTCTTTGTTGGAGTTGAATATACACATGAGCCAGCGGCGTAGTGTAAAACATACGCCTACTGAACCGGGAGAGAATGATTCTCATTTACCGGGAATGAACACCACACTTATCCCGTGTCAAAACGGTAGTGGTATTCATAGGATTAAATACTACGATATAACATGGACAGTGTCAAAACTCCGTGCAGTGGCGGAATGTCTGAGACAACTTCGGCTGCTCTTTGAGGACTGTTGCGGTAAGTCAATGGAACATATTTACGATTTTCACACACATGGTTTTCTTTGTAGGCCTAATGATTTACAGACAAGACGAATAGGCCTATGACTGTGCAGTTCTCTCATCGTGTTATCAGAAGATTTTCGCGTCTGCCAAGGCATGCCACACATAGCCTAGTTCATGCGAGGACAAACAAAATGACTGTCTGGGGAGACTCATGTGCGCTCTGAGACTAAGCTTCGTTCATGTCCTAGTCGGAACTAGGAAACTCAGAAATGTCAGACTTGCTAACTAGTTGTACTTATACACGTGCCGCAATCACCAGGAAGTCGGAAATGTCCGTTTCCTAGTTCCAACGAGCACCTGAACGCGGCATAATGCCGGGAAGGCTACACATCGTGACGTGTATCATTACGAGTCTTGCTGAATGATCCGTGTATTAGTGATAGGCTACACATTTCAAACCAATACGTTTTCTGCCAACTTTTTTTGTATATAGGCCTATGAAAGGTATTGCCGTCGTCAAATTTTTGTTTTACCAGAGAAGTTGGTTGGCCCTATAAGTTGATACATTGCTATGTTTTAATTTATAAAGCCATTTTACAAAAGTTCCGCTGTACCTAACATCATACTAATTTAGACATACGAGTTACCACACCCAGTCTCAGGGATGGCTAACTCTGGAAATTCCTTTGGTCTCTACCAGGGAGCCTAAATCAGCTTAGTTTCCTTGCACCTTATTTGTGGAACAATCTCCAAATGTTCTTAAATTTGATGTTTCGGTGCCTCTAGGGCAATTCAGAAAGCTGATTGAGGACCTTATTACTGATGAATGTGTATGTTTTTTATGGCTGTTTTTCTTTCTGCTTGCATTTTGTATTTATATTGATGTGTATTTTCTGTCATTTATGTGAATCAGGGCTCATCTGTAAAAGAGACCTTGGTCTAAGTATGACTCACTGATAAAATAAAAGTAAAAAATAAATAGTATAGTTTTATTTCCGCCAACCGACCTAGTCATGATTGCGGTAAAGTTCTGCCTATGGCTTCATTGTCTTACATGAGATAGCGCGTCGGATTCCGCCTGCAAAGGGTAATGGAATAGATCAAAATTAGTCTGGCTACTTTTGCCATCAGTGGAGGCTGTTGGAGGGGAGGACGGATCATAGCCTAATAATGGTTGGAATGGAGTGTAATGGCTGGAATCGAATTGTATCAAACAAACATGTTTTTTACTCTATTCCATCGATTATTATGAGCCGTCCTCTCCTCAGCAGCCTCCACTGGCTGCCATAACATTCGAAAATATTACACTTAGGTGACATCGTCTGCTGAACTCCATTTCTGCCTCAAAACTGTCTGAATTAATCTAAGCTAAAACAATAAATATGTCAATGTTTACGTTTTTTTTGGTGAGGGAGTCTTGGTCGCCCCATTTTACGTCTAGCTAAGGATTATTGTGCTTTAATGAGCAGTAGTGAGTGCATGGGCTACTAGAATGAGAACCATAGGTGCTTTTGCAGCATATGGCATATGCACTGTTTGCCATTAATTCATGCCCTTTTACCTTCCTCATTATTATTTGTGATTCTGCAACATGGAATTGTAACAGATGTGATT